CATGAGGTGAGCAGCTTGACTCACATGCTCGCAGTCTTGATATGCTGCCTCACTGCTGGTGCTAAAGCAACAGGAGCACACAGTAAATCTATCTTCTGAGTTAATGATACACGGGATTTTGTTATCTGGATGGAAAGCTGATGTAGGTATTACCTAGGGTTCCAGGCATCCACTTGAGGTGTCAGAACGTATCCTCAATGGATAAGGGGCACTGCTATACTGAGTTATTTAATCCAACAGATGGGGTTCAAATGCTGAAAATAGGACAGGAGAGGCCAGTCGGCAAGTTAAAAGTCTCTAAGACCTTTAAGACATGTAAATGCTGCAGAAGGGCAGGAGAAATGGGGCCGTGCAGGAATGGTCTAGTTCAGGGAGTGCACCAAAGGAGCTTTGGAATTTGTAATTTGGGGGTTGGAAGTTTCTCGTCTTGGTCAAAGCAAGCCTGGGGCCTTCTTATTTAAAGCTATGCCTTGTCAAATTAGTTGTACGGCTGCTGTAGTTCAGACTTAACGTGGGCAGACAGGCCTGCCAGGCACAGATTTCTCACGCAGATGATGTGAGGGAGAATCAATTTTATCCATGGCAAGACCGCAGGGACAGATGACACTCAGCGGGAACGGCAGGCCCAATCTGCAGGATCTATAATCCAACCGGCAAGCCCTAGGGACCTGGCCTTGTGTGAGTGGACGCGACAGCGTGAAGGAACGATCAAATTAACTCACTGAGCTGGAAAAGATTCAGGCTTCTATTCCCTCCCAAGGAACCAAAAAATCCTAAAAACCACAACACTCCTAAAGGAAGTATGATCATGGCAGTAGAGACACTTGAGACATAACAGCAAAAAACGGTCAACCTCTTAGATTCCCCCGACTTCCCACCTACCTTCTTTTGGCCTCCCTCTGCTCAGTGAAAGATGAGTTTTACTAAATTGGGAAGCAGAAGGAATTAGTTTTATTCCCGGGCAGTTTTGGGAATAGAGGCAGAGCCTGCAGGAATCTGGGCTCCACAACAAGTAATCATTATTGCAAAAATCAAATTCCCCATCTCATCTGTGATACGCTTGTGTGTAACCCTAGAGCTGGGCTTCACAGTGTTATAAATCCACCATACAAGACATGGAACAGCGGGACGTGGAGCCCCTTGTGTGTCTAAAAGTCTGCCCGGCAAGAGAGATATATGATGGTAACTTTTCTCTCCATTGCTTTTGCAATAAAATTCACCCTGAGCTCCAGGAAGGGTTAGGAATGTAATTCAGCTTCCATAAATCAAGACTAAAATTAAGATGGCCAGATATGTAGCAGCCTGTTCAGGTGTACAGAGAATTTGAAATTTAGTGCCCTTGGTAATGGGTAGCAGCAGATTATCTAATTATGGAGAGAAAGAAGAAATATTGCTCTCTGGGGTAAAAAAGCTAAATGCTCTAATCCATTAAGTCACCACATCTCTGCCAAAGCTAGATTAATATTAAAGTTCATGTAACATTTTTCTTTTCTTTTCTTTTTTTTTTTAAAGGAATGAAGTCAAATGTTAAGAAAAAAAATGTAACTGAAAAGGCTACAGTTCACAGTGATTCTAATTTGACTACTTGTCAAACAGTTGTGTATTCTATCTTTTGGAGTGATGTACGTGTAGCTGATTACAGGACAGTTCTATACTTTCCTAATTGTCGATCTGGTTAAATTTTTATCATCATATCTTGAAGCTATTCTGGACAGACTTCAAGCAAGGATCTCATAAATTAGATATGCTTTTAAGGGGTAGTGAACAGGGTGTGCTGGCAGTGGGTGGTCCTTTCTACTCATTCTGCTGTCAAATTCTTGCCTTCATCCTGGTAGGAAACCTATGGTGCCTGTTTCTGACCCTAACTACAGGTATAAAGAGGTGAAATCAGTTTTTAACAGGGTGTAAAACATGAAAATTCCCATATACAGCAGTTCCATTTCATGAAAGGTTTCACTATGGTTTTAGTTATCCACTAACAAGGGTAGACCAAAAATATTAAGTGGAAATTCCAAGAAATAAACAATTCATGTCACATTGTGACTATTTCGGAGCAGCAAGATGAAATTCTGCCCTAATGCCAATTACCTTTGTCCAATGTATCCATATTGTATAGTCTACCCATCCATTATTTACTTAGTAACTAGTCTAGTTGCCAGATTGTGGCAGAAATGTATTGTTACAACTGTTCAATGTTACTCTATCATGTCTTTTACTGTACTTAATTTTCATCAAATACATGTATATATATAGGAAAAAAACATAGTATATGTAGAGTTTGGTACAATCTGTAGCTTCGGTCACCAGCTGGGGTTTCTTATACCACTTATCTGTCTGCAGATAGATGGTGGGGGGCAAATATAACTGTAAACACCTTAATTCATTACCTGGAGGTGTTCAGAGGGGAAGTTGGCTCAAAATACATAAATTTCATGCAACTTTTGTCTATGAACAAATGGCTTTTCTGGATGTTGCTTTCTTATTTTAAACTAGTATTTATTCTAACGAATGAATAAACCCATGGACTCTTGACTGAAGAGCAATGCTTTCCTACTTGGAGTTCTTTATCTGTTTCTGAAATTTGTGTGAGGAATAGACACGTAGCTCATCAGGGCAGGAGCATCAGTGAACATGGACAGGCTGTCACCAACTCTGAAAGGTCATGTGATTCTCATTTATCCTACCATGGTTCGAGGTACTACCATGCAGCAGGGTCTGCCCTCTTTGCTTTGTAAGCTAGCATGAGTTACCATGGAGTTTCCAGCACAGGGTCCAAGACACAGGAGACAGTTATTCAACACTTAGTATTTATTTCCAGAGAATGGTGGGGTCAGGCAGCCCCCAAAAGAATCTTTGTGTGCCCTGCCTCAGGAGCCTGTTCACAGGTGGTCGGGGTATAGATTCTCTAAGAGCAAGAATGTGTTGTAAGTTTACCCCCAAGTCTTGAAGCCTATCTATGGCAAGTGCTGAACACACACTAGGGCAATCACTGAATGGTCAGCAAAGCAGGTTTTGGGCATTATAGACAGGAATGGTGGGAAAGAGGCACCCACTTTTCAGAAAGAACAGCACACTTTTAAGTGGTCACATTTTAGATGCATCTTATGGACGTCTCAGAAGCATAAGGTAAAAAACATGAAATCTTTTACAACATCTTGAAGGAAACAAGGACCAGATTTTACAGGTGGTAATGTGAGTTTGTTTTTTCCACAATTAGAAGATGTGCTACCAACTTGTGTCTTATCTCAGATGGATTCACATGCTGAGCAGGCTGGCATCTCAGGGATGGTAGGTGGGAAGAGACTGACATGGAGTTTTTTTTTTTTGGTTTTTCGAGACAGGGTTTCTCTGTGTAGCTTTGCGCCTTTCCTGGAACTCACTTGGTAGCCCAGGCTGGCCTCGAACTCACAGAGATCCGCCTGGCTCTGCCTCCCGAGTGCTGGGATTAAAGGCGTGCGCCACCACCGCCCGGCGACATGGAGTTTTTATGATTACCATCAAAAGTGAAACAAGATCGGTGACCTTTACCTCTACTTCAGAAGAGGAATTTCATCAGATGCATTGATTTAACCAGTGTCTCATCACTAATCAGGATGAGAGTGGTCTAATTCTGACTTATACTACTTTATTGAGCTATAATTCTTGTAAAGTAATTGCTAAAGTGTGCAACTGTAGTAGGACAGGCCCATAGGGTCAAGGAAATTGGCTCAGACCAGTTGCCAAAGCATGCACATAACCTAATCCTTATGAGCCAACCTGGAGTCGGCCTGAGGGCCTAGCAACAGGCACTGTCAGAGTTCCTGATTGTGCCTAGCTAATGAGGGACAACCACAGAGACTGGGTGCTGGGAGGAGGGTATAGAAGGCCTTCCCTGTTATTGAGTAAATAAGTTCGTTATTTGCCTTCAAGGGACTCCCAGTGTCTGTGCCGTGGACGCCCCCCCCCCCCCCCCGCCCCAGGGAGCCATTAGAATCCAAGCAACATGCAACCACTTCATTTGTTCTTTGAAATTTTAAATACATTTATTTTATTGAACACTGATGGTTCAGAGCTAAGACTTCCCCAAAAGAACAAGTGTTGAAAGACTGGCTTCCATTGTAGTAATATTTAGAAGTGGGGCTTCTGCTTTGCTTATAATCATATGCTTAGGAATAACAAGACTCAACCAAAGTGCTGAATAGTTCCAAATGTCTTACTCTTTCACCGCAATTCTGAATCTACTACCTAGGATTCCCTCCCTTCTCTGTCTCTCCTGGCTCTAGGGACTGAACACACACCTTGTGCATTCTAGGCAAGCACTCTTCTACTGAGTTACACCCTAGCCCTTCATTGTTTTCTTTTTTTTTCTTTTTAAAGATTTATTTATTATATAAACAGTATTCTGCCTACATGTATGTCTACAGGCCAGAAGAGGGAACCAGATCTCATTACAGATGGTTGTGAGCCACCATGTGGTTGCTGGGAATTGAACTCAGGACCTCTGGAAGAACAGTCAGTGCTCTTTACCTCTGAGCCATCTCTTCAGCCCTCATTGTTTTCTTTAAGACAAAGTTTCCCTGTGTAGTCTAGGCTGGCCTTGAATCCCCGATCCTTAATGACTCAGCCATCCTATGGCTGGTTTATGAACATTCAAGGCCATGATATGCCTGACTCTAGTTCTCTTATTTGGACAGACAAACTCTTGAACTCTCAACAACCTATTACTATTACACTAGTGAGAGTTCCAGGATGTCCAGAGCTGTGGTTAACAGGGTCCCAGTGTCCCTGCTCATCACAGGGCTGCAATGGCAGACTCCGAGAGTGCTGGCTGGCTTTCTCTGTCAAGCGATGAGATGGTGAAGCCCAGTTTCCTAAGTCGCTGTCTTTCACTACGCCCGACAAGAGAAAGGAGTCATTAGCTTAAGAGGAATGCATTTAACTAACTCCCTCTCGGTGGGGGCTCAGTAGTTAGTTTCACCTCAGTAAATACTGACTACAGGAAGGAAAGAAACAAACAAAAGTTGATTTTTAAAATCACATTTACTAGCTCACATAAATAATTTGAGAACAAATATCTATCTTCCCTTCTGAATCCTCAGCATAATTTATCATAGCTTTTAATAAACTACTATAAATATCTAAGAGGAAAATGAATTTTAAAAACATGAAGAAGCAGATGTGAAACACTGACAGGCTGACTTTTTAAAGATTGACCCACTGATTTGCAATTTTTATTAAAATGAATTTCACCTATAAATATGAGATAATTTGTAATCCAATCGTGATTTGTTTGGATAACAGTTGAATTTTTACATTAAAAAATTGCAAAGCTTCAACTAAGGGACAAATAAAACATTCAGACTTGAGTTTACACTTTAAAAATTCTACCAACATTAACAAAGAAACAATGACGTCATAGTAATTGACATTAGTACCATGGTCCAAAATATATCTTCCATTACTCTTCTGCTGCTGCTGTCGCACTGCAGAGGCTTCTAGTGGGAGTTAGCATAGAGTTTGTTCTTGATGAAGACAACACTAGACAGATGTTGCCTGATGTCTGGGTAATGCTGAATGTGACAAAACCAGCGAGACACATTAAGATATTTCTCCTTTTCTTGAACTGTCAGGTCAACCTAAGCAGGGATTAAAAACACACCATATAATGTTCACTGTGCACAGGCAGGGCTGTCAGCACTAGGAGGTAACTGACAGAAACTGCAAAACACCCAATGCCCCGTTTTCAAAGCCAACATATTCACACGGAAGTGAAAGCTGCAGACAGCTGTGATAGCAATACATTTGTGAATATTTTAATGCTCAGTTCAAAACCAGATGTGCTTTCCAGGAAAGTATCAAGCTTTCCATAAATATAAAAATTGACATTAATATAGAATTTAGAGGCCCAAAGGGTTTCTCCCTTTATTAGAAAAAGAAAATGAGAGATAAGAACTTTCAAAAGGCTAAGATATAGTTTTTTCTCTGATTTCTAAGCAAGCCTCAAAAATGAAGAGTTTCTGATGTCTAACTTAACAAGAGAACATCATTTAATATAAAAGAAAGAAGTACGAATACATATATTATACATATGTACATATATTTTACACACACACACACACACACACACACACACACACATGCACACACGCAGAGACTATTATTGCCATCTTCCTTCTCAACTTCAGAGGGAGAACCCCACTGAGACAGTGAGCAGCTTAATTTCAAGTGCTCACAGTTAATACAAGGAAAGGCTGTGTCTAGTGGCACATGACTTAGAAAGGGGCTGATTAAACACCTACGACAACACACCTCAGTCTGTGGTAGTAAAGACTATGTTTTAGTGTACACAGCAGTGATTCACGTCAGTTACTCTCCTGGATGCAGACAGAGGTGCTTATCATTCCTGTGGGATCACACCCCAAAGTAGGTGGTAACTCAAGATTTTTCTCTAAGACAAATTTTGGAATTAGGTTGTTCAGTAAGAGGAAGTCAAGTAGGGCAGTAAGTGGCAGCTGTGATCCCATGTGTGGGTGGTACAGTCCTTCTCCTGTGGTTAATTCAACGTTTATAAAGGATATCTAAGTCTCTAACACACAGAAACAACTTGGGCCCCACAGGTCCACCTCCAAGCAGAGGTCTGCATGTCTGCAGGCTCTTTGTGAGATGATGTCCCAAGGCCACTGTATGGAGATGTGCCTATAGACCAATACCTGTCAAGTCACAGGACCCAGCAACATGAAGGACAAGCGAGTGTGCAATAACTATTACAAAACACAAAACAGCTTCAGTGTAAAGGCTCATTTTTTAATAAGAGAATTTATGGTTTCAAATATTCCTGATTTTTACATGTGAAATAACAGAAGCATGTGATACATTAATATAGAAACATGAGGTAATCACTTATGGGCCTTAGTTTGTACTCAGAAAACACTTTGTAAATGAATTATTTTTTTTCTAACACTTTACCAATATATTATAAATTTCACCATGGACTTCAAAAGAAAATTGGGTTTTGGTTTGCTCTTTGTTTAGTTGGTGTTAAGGGCTGAATATGGGGCCTTGACATGTCAGGCAAGTGTTTTACCACTGAGTTGCCTCGAAGGCCCCGAAAGGCAAGGTTTTTAAAAAGTTTAGGGGTGGGGTGTAGCTCCGTGGCATAATGCATTCCTGTCCAGCTTGTGCTAGGTTCCATTCCTAGTACTGAACGCAAAATGAAAGAATGAAAGAATTAACGGCAACTCCTTAATTTAAGAGCTATTTCATTCCACCAAAACTATTAGCCATTTCATGGGGTGTTATTTTTCAGGGTGAACTAAAATACAGAGTAAGGCATTTCTAAACACTATGGTAGCAATAATTATTTGTCTTTAGCTTGTGCACTGATATTTTGAACCACGTTGAAAAGGAATATGCTTATGTTGTATTTTATATTGTGAAACATTTGCTAACATACAGAACTAGTTAGTATTTGTTGCCAACATGCCCATTATTTAAAACAATACCAACTGATGATATAAATCAAAATAAATATGCCCCATCCTACAAACAATTGGAGTCTCTAGTATAAGGACTATAGTCCAACCTAAGTATAAAATTACTTTTATTCTAATAGCTTCTAAATCTCCCAATATTTTCAAATTAAATCCAACAATTTTTGGACAGATGATCTACTACACAGTAGTCTCAGTTGGTTTAAGCTAACTTACTCTTCTTCTAGAAACACACAGGCTTCCTAAATGGACCAGAGCATCCTTTTAACATCCTTCCACTGCTTAGGCCTTGGAATTCTTCTGAGTCTGAGAAAATGATGACTGAACCTGGTATGGCACCTCTGCTACTTTTTAAAAAACATTTTTCACATAAAGTTACCGTCAATAAACCAAGCAAGAGATTTTTCTCTTTACTGAACTGATACTATTTTAAAAAATGGTTCTGATGTGATCCCTGGGCTGTTTCATTTATAACACTGGCTTCCTAGCACTTTCACCTAGTTATTATTATTATTTTTTAAAGAGGGGAACCCAAGGCAAATGCTGCTTCCTGCCTTTCACTGGTCTAGACAGCAGTGTCTCTGGTGGTGCCGGCTCTTCCTCCTACTTACTCACTTTTGTTTATATTGGAACTCAGTAATGACTTTGAACCTTAAAGCCAAACAGATAACATTCTGACTGACTTATTTTCTACTAGGAAATGTGGGAAACATTCACGCCAACCCTTTGCAGCCTGGCCTCAGTGCTGGCTTTATCCTTCCATCGGCACCAGGCTGGCTCTGGACAGTCAGTATTCTTGGGACTGTTTCCTACTGCTTTCTTTCTCTTCTCTTTTCCTTCTCCAAGAACCAAATTCCACTGGTGCTCAGAACAAATGCATTTCTGCTCAGAACAATCTCACGGGCCAGCCACAGCATCCCAAAGGATTCTAACAATCTAGAGGCACAGTCTGATTATAAGGGACCGCCTCTCAGTGGAATCACTGAAGAAGGCAGTTGGTAATAGAGTTGGCATCAACAGGCACATTATGGGCATTGTTGACATAATATAACATGCCAAGATGCGTTAAGTTAAACCCGATTTCAGAACTTCTCAGCCAGAGCTGTAACTCTGGGCTTCCAACAGAAACAATCTAAGAGGGTGATTTGATTACCCCAAGGTTCCTAGACTGTTGAAGGTTTTGTTTCGGACACTGTGCCGATTACAGAGTAGGGATTTAACAACATAAAACACTAAGTGAAGGAATGCAAGGTTGGGCAAGTATCAGAATACTGCTAAAGGGAGCAAAGCTGGAGAAGCTGACGAACACAAGCAGGTGGCCAAGCCAAACTTAATACCGAGCAGTCACTTTCCTCACACCTGTGTACACTCCACAGATCCAGTTAACAAAATGTCACTTAACACCATGGTGTCACCCTATCACCATGAGGGCTTTAGTTTATGAGGCCTATTCCTTAAGAAGGTCTTCCTTCCTGTGAATACCTTGCCTGCTCTCTAACTGGGAAAGGGCACACACCCAAGGTAATGGTCAACAAAAAGATTTAGGAACTATTCTATTCAACGTTGCTTTGAAAACGATAACCCTAATACCTTTAATCACAACAGTCACCACAGGTGTAGGAGATACATATTCCAGAATAGGAAATGTAAGTAGGTTTAAGTGGCTAAAGATTAGGATTACCCTGATTTTAATATTCAGAACTGAGGAAACAGTTGAAAGTCTCCTGAAAACCAAAGGCCTTTCAAGATGCCCGACTCATAATTAAGTAACCGTGCAGCGGGAGCTAGGAGTATTTTGTACTATAAAATTATGTTTTTGTTCACAGCTAGGCAGAGCAACGTTGCACAGGTTCCTGCCCACGATATGCATGAGCCCAGCAGAGGAAAACTCAAATACGCACTTAGTCTGCGTGAGTTCCACACACTTTACTATCCTCTTCATTTTGAATCAGATGGGAGGAATCGTCCTTCTTAATGACAGCTTTATGCTACAGGAAGCCAGACCTTAGAGCTCTGCAGACAATCACTAGCTTGCTGGCAGTCACTGCACATTTCTCCCAGGATTAAATAACACCAAAATATGTGCCATGACTGAATGTGTAGAAGCGACCAACTCTGTTGAGATGTAACTGCCCCTGCATGTGGGTGGGTAAGGCAGCCACGGTCTTGCTCAGGTCAAGAAAGGGGCTCCCCCAAGCTGACAGACTGTGTGTTTGCCATCAGAAGAGATGGTTGGATACCTCAGCAGCAAATCCTCTTTCCCTTGGAGGCTTTTTTCGTTTTGAAATGAGGTAAGTTGTACCACATCATCGTTCTACGTTCAAGAAGCTACTAAGACACACTGAAGCTAGAACGGAACAAAAAGAAGCTGCTGCTGTGACTGCAATGTTTCAGCTCCAATGAAGCTTTCTTCACATGTAAATAAATTACTCGAAATACACTGAAGAACATAACTAAACACTACATTTCACTGTAGATGCACAACGTAAAACAGGAACACATATAGGTACAGAATACAGGATACTGCTAATTTCACAAGCTTGCATCAGGATAAGTCACTATGCTGAGTCAGGAGGGTGACAGAGAAATAAGACACGGACTTCACATTCCTGGCTTTGTGTAAATGAGTCATATTTCTTCTGAGTTCAGGGACCATTCACCTACTACATTTCCCTGTAGCAGCAGAGTCATGAAAAGCTGCCTTTCACAGCTAAACACGGGTGCTTTTTGATGAGAAATTATATGGTCATTCTACCTGTTAGAAACTTTAGATACGACAACTCCTTTTCTAGCCAAGGACAATCATATTCTGTACATATTTGTCATGTGTCTTTTTCCTGCGTTACCTGACTCTTTAAATGATCCAATCACAGTCTGACCAGAAATCAGTACCTGGTTCCATTTTCTCTAATTTTTTATTTTTATGTAAAACAATCTATCTTTTCAACAAGATTAGTAGTTCCTTAAAAAAAATAAAGGTCGCCGGGCGGTGGTGGCGCACGTCTTTAATCCCAGCACTCGGGAGACAGAGGCCGGCCTGGGTCTACAGAGCGAGATCCAGGAAAGGCGCAAAGCTACACAGAGAAACCCTGTCTCGAAAAACCAAAAAAAAAAAAAAAAAAAAAAAAAAAAAAAAAAAAAAAAAAAAGTCTATGCTCCTTTTATGTCGCTCTGAAATATAGCACAGAGGGCAACACAGGAGGCACTTGATAATTCAAAGTGTAGAATAGGGAGTGCTATGCTAAGCTAATCAACTAGGCCATTACAATGTTCCAGAACCTAATGTACCCACTTGAGAAAAAAAGCCTCCTTTGTCCTGTATCTCACTACGTAGTTCTGGCTAGCCTTGAACTTGTACAACCCTCCTACCTCAGTCTTCCAAGTGCTGGGATTATAGCTGTGTGTCACCATACCCAACTTGGGGAATAACTGTAAATGATGTCAAGTAAATCAAATTGAGAAGGATGGCCTAGGTGGTGGACTAACACTAAGACAATTCCATTAGTTTCGGCAGGAGGCTGGTGCTATCGAATTCAACCTAAGTGCTGGGACAGCACATGTTACACTGTAGTGGTGAGGTAAAGCAAGGGAGGCCTGTGGATGTCCAGGGCAGATGGGATTTTTTCTGTATTTCTGCTCTGTGCTTGGCTCAGTCTGGTCATTTGGAACCTGCTACTGCAGAAGGCAGAATCTAACTGTATCACTTCTTACTATGGTGGCTTACAGTTTAGAAATGGCTTTTTATACACTAAGATCTGCCTTGGTCCTTTAAAATATATCTACATAAGTATATATGTATCCTATTCCTTGGACAGCACACAATATCCTTCACATTTACTTGGTATTATGGAAGCCTGACTGTACAAGGTGTGCCAGGAATTATGCCAGACAAAAAAGAAATCTCTACAACTATGACATAAGCAGTCTGTGACAGAGATTTCCAAATAGTAATTACAGTACAAGCAAAATAAAGTCCAGCTTTAGGAAGTCCTCCACAGGGTCCAACAGAAACAACAGAGAGGAGCACTTCAGGATGCTTCAGGAGTCTGAGACAACCCTACGCAAGGAGGCAGAGCTGGAGCACAGACAGACATCTGAGGACATACAAACAACCGCAGAGGAAGGTACCAAGGACCAGGGTGCAAAAGAGAAGAGCAATGCAAAGACACTGGTAGGAAGAGCCCAGCAGCCAGCAGACGTCAGGGGTGTCACAGCTCAGGCAGAGACAGGGTCAAAGCCAGAGGGTGGCAGGAGCCAGCAGGAAGTCCTTCCGTGCTGACAAACTGTACTTGCTGGAATTAGGGAACTACTGAATTACTGAGAAGGAAAAAGCCTGGTCTTGAGAAGGACTGGCCTAGTGGCCACTCATAGAGCCCGCCTTATTTGTATCTTCTTTATATGGACCAGAGACAATAAAACTGACTGATGCTCAGGGAAAAGGCACTCCAGATCCCAGGAAGGAAGAGATAGGGGTGTGAGGACCCAGCAAGTGGAAACACCAGGCCCTGACTGGATACTGAAGTGGAGAACATAGAAAATGTTATGAGGTCTTTTCCCACAATGGAAGAAGGGTGTTGGAGGTATGGGGAGTTGAGAGATTTTTTTTTTTAAGTCAGAAAAAAAATCTAAGAAGGCATGAACTCAAGACAAACTGCCTGAGTTTGGGACCTGGGTCTGCCAATTAGTTAGATGATGCCTGACTGACCTCGCTGTGTCTCAGTAATACTGCAGGAAGTAATGGGCTGACACTTTCACAGAGTAAAGAAGAGTGAAAAGAAAATAGGGAGTGTTTGTAATTGTAAGTAAGTTTTGGATGATGACACATGATTTAAACTGTAGAGACTGACGAAGTGCTTAGAGGATAATTGTGAAGGAATGAGAGAAAAAAGAAAACAGTTTGGGAGATGACCCAGAGGGCTGGCAAGGAAGGGAAGCTGATGTGTGAGGCTAGGGGGAGTTCCCTTCTGAGGCCAGCAACGGGAGAATAGGTGGTTGAGGGTTGATAAGCAGGCAGGCTGAAGATGAAAGAATTCATTGAAGGAAGAGGAAGAGTGTGAAGGAGAAAGGCTCTACGGCAAGGAAGCCAGAGAGAGAAAGACCTATGGACACCGGGAAGAAAGGAGAGCTGACGATGGCATAGGCCTAGCTGCAATCGGAGTGAGGAACTTTCTAGGGCTAGCACCCTAGACTTATGTAATTTCTAAAACAACCCTTTGTACACAGGAAACGAAGACTCTAACATGGCGGTAACTGTACAGCACAGTAGAGCAGCTGGAGGCGGCAGTAAGATGTGGTTGACGTCAGCAGAAGGGGCGACACTCAATGGCAAGGACAATATGTAAGTAAAGAAGACTCATCGAATTATGTTAGGATTAGCAACCGAGATACTTGATTCAAGAGCTTGGGCAGGAGGTGCACAGAAGGTGGGGCACGGTGGAGTGTGTGTGTGGGGGGCTGATGATGACAGAGCCAGAGGCAGAGGCTGCGGAGGAAGAACAGGAGCAGAAGCTGAAAATACAGCAGCAGAAGAGGGAGCACAGCTCTGCAAACGGACTACATGGCAAGTTCTGCCTACAGTGCCTTCTTTAAAAATAACCTTTTATTGATAAATTGAAATGTAGATCTGATTAAAAGTCACAACATTTAAAAAAAGTGATTCTGAACACTACAGAAAAACCTGAACACCACCTGAATACTCACTATGAAGCGGTGGAGCCCGTAGTACAGAAGGATATCTGCCAAGGTAAAGTTATATCCTGCGAGGTAGACTTTATCTTCAAGATAGGAATTAAGATCCTAAAAAAAGAAAAAGTGTTTTAATTCAAAATCAGCAATGATGAAGCTATTGTGGCATATGACTTAAAACATTTAAAAGGCCACCCAAAAGAAAAGTACTGAGACTTAATTTCCTAAACTTCATCTTTAAGTTGGGTGTGGTGGCTCACATCAGCACTTAGGAGAATGAGGCAGGCAGACTGGGGTGATAGCAGTGTGAGAAGACCCTTTTGGAAACAAACAAAAAACTGACAATAAAAATCACAAACTGGATGCCAATCACCTAAAAGAAAAACAAAATTCCAACAGAAACAACATTCTAAATACCATCTATGATCACGTCAGAGTGCAATGTTTGTTCTTAGAGTATAAAAAATGCTCACTCTGGCTGGGGTGATGGCTCAGTGTAAGTGACTGCACATGAACATCCACATAAAAGCTGGGCACAGCAGTGTGTGCTTGTAACCCTAGTGCTGAGGAGGCCTCAGAGACAGGTGGATCCCAGAGCTTGCTGGCCAACCTCTCCTGCCATCGGTAAGCTCCAGGTTTAGTGTGAGAATCTGTCTCAACCAAACAAGGTGGAGAAAATCGGAGATACCTAAGACTGGCCCCTGGCTTCCAGTTGCACATGCATACACATGCACATACAACGTTCACATGCACACAAACTACAGATGCAAAATTTAAAAATCATGCTCTTGTTAAATTTTCCCAACATACAAAACTTCTCAGATGATTCGCTCCAGAAAATTGTTATTGGTGTTTGGTATACATACATACATACACACATACATATATACATACATATATGTATATATACAAAATATATAAACATACCTATAAATACATATAAATATGCATGTTACACTTTGCTATATATATTAATACTTTAATTAGGATTATATACATAACATAAAATTTACCACCTAACTATTTTAAGAATGCAACTGGAAGGCCAAGCCTGTATAGTTAAGCATGTTCACAGTTTCAAACCAATTTCCAGAGCTTTTCTATCATGCAAAACTAAAGCACTGTCATTAAATGGCTCCTCCTCTCCCTCCGTTCCCTCGAGGCACTGGTAACCACTGTCCTGCTAGGTCTCTGTGCAGATGCCTCATGGGACTCACTTATTTCCCTCAGTGCAAAGGGGAATGGGAAAAAAGGTCACTGACTAAAGACCTCGAGGGGAAGGACTTGTGCTTCCTGGCTCCTGCAGCACAGCCTACAGAAACGGTCCAGATACCTTCAGCAGGCTGTGGGTATCTTCTTTACTGGAGTGTCCATCTACTCGGGTGATCCTGTACTCTAACCACTGCTGAACGACTGCCTTTTCTTCTGCGGTGCTCCCTAGCAAGTACTCTTTATTGGCTTGCTTGACTAGATGGGTTGCGATGGTAGCCAATCCCATTAGACTTGGGCCATTGTTTGTTTGTAGAACTGGAACCTAAAAAAGAAAAATTCTTCAGAAAAAAATTAAAACCAGACCATCATGATTGTAAACTGGAGGTAAGTACTAAAATCTCCAATTTTCAGAAATACTCTATAACACTAAATTATGTATAACTGAAAGTTAAGACACCAGCAGCCACAAGATTTATAATTTAATGGCATGCTGGATGATGTAACTGGTCATAACACAACATAAACTGGTTAAATGTTACCAAAATTCAGAACCAGGAGTATACAACATGGAAAAACAGAAACCACAACACTTTATTAATTTCACTCAGGATTTCCCGCACTTGGCCACATGTAGTGGCCCATGCCTGTAATCCCAGCAACTTGAGAGGCTGAGGCAAGAGGATTACACATTTCAGGTCAGCCTGGGCTACATGGGGAGACCCTGCTGCCAAAACAAAAAACAAGAAAAACAGATTGCCCCTACCCATAAACCAAATAATACCTGTTTAGACAAGATTGTATAGCTTTACTACATCTAACATCTTATTGGTTGAGTAGGTCTATATATTTATTTTCTGCAGTGTTGGGGAGAGAACCCAGGGCCTTGCACTGACACATGCCCTGCCCGATGAAAGTTTATTTCTCTTAAGTAAAGCCTACGGAAGTTAGAGGAGACTATTTGAAACAGTGCTCCAGCAATCCTGGCTTCTGCCTTGTAGTAATTCTCTTGAAGCATCTCTAAAACCACAACAGGGGAGTAGCCAGACTGAGATACTTGTACTAGCAATCAGAAGTTTCCATCCCGAAGTAATGTTCATCACCTCTTCATGTAACCACTCAGGTCACTCAAAACTACAAGGACTAATACTGTGGGAAATGTAACCCTCCCATGCATCAATTGGGCATGCTCTGAGAATTCTCATAGACATCACCTACAACCAATTTTGGAACCCTTACAAGACAAAGGAAACAGATTTCTTTCCCCCTTTAGAGCCTATAAATTCCACAAGAATGAGGACAACTTCTTTGCTTGGTTTTCTTTCAAACTTAAATTTTTTATTTTATGTATATGAGTATTTTGCTTTCATGTACATCTGTGCACCACATGCATGCCTTGGAGACCAGAATTCGGCCTTGGATTCTTTGGAAAATTAAAAACCGCACCTGGTGAAAGTATTAACTAGGAGCTGGGTGTGGTGGTGCACACCTTTAATCCCAGCACTCCCAGAGGCAGAGGCAGGTGGATCTCTGTGAGTTCAAGTCTTACAGAGTGAGTTCCAGGACAGTCAGGGCTACACAAAGAAACCCTGTCTTAAAACCCAAACAAACAAACAAACAAACAGAAGCCCAATATCTCACTGTATTCCTCCCCAGAGCTTGTTCTGTTGGGCTCTTAATTGCTGGTGACTGTCCCTCATACTAAATAATCCTCGAGAGCAGTATTCATATGTTGGCCAGTTTCCAAAGCCAAATGTGAGAGTAGTGGCTGATGCAAAGGAAACCGGATAGGGTCAGAGAACATCACCCCTGGGAAGGCTGGCCTTTGCAGCCCATCACAGGCAAGTCATGGAACCTTCCCGGGTGTCACTTTAAACTAGTGTAAACCCCACAAGACTGCTACGTTTGGGACAAAAAAACAACAACAACCCTGCACCTAATGAAAAAAACATCAGGGCCCAAACAAGAACAAGTTATCTGGACCCACTCCCCCAAATACACATTCAAATTGGGTTTCCCACTACCATTCTTCCTCTAATACAATCTTTCCAAGGCAAATAACATGTTAAAACAACTCATTTTCAACACCCTAAGAAATCGGAATCCTTACACCTCACCAGGCACCCCACAGTCCCACACCAGGGACTCTCAATTCTCTGCACAATGCACATTCAAGCCAATGTGTTCCCGGAATGAGCAGGGCCCCATTCCTTGTTCTCTCCGCCAAGCGGCTACCAGGAATCACTCTGTACTGTTCGCCGGGCCTCGGAGCCAGCCAGCCGCCTGCAGGGCGAGTCTCCGGCCGCATACCCGCCCCACCCCCGTGACTGCACATAAGGTGGTCGCTGAATAAAAGGAGCACTCACGGCTGCCTAGAGGGATCTCAACCCACAGCTCTGCCCACGCTTCCCCTGACTTTCCACTCCCAGAGGGGATGATGACATTTGCCTGGAGGTCCAGACCAAGTCACACGGCCCGTCCCGTACGCACGTGGGGCGCAGCGTCCACCTTCGAGACCCGGCGGGATCCACTCTCGAGTCCCGGTAAGCTCCGGGTCAACTCGCCGCTCTCCCGCCGCCCCGCCTCACCTGTCGCTCGCCCTGAGCGCTGTACTTATTCCCCGGCCTCAGCCCCAAAGACTTCTCCAGCAGCTTCAGCTCCGCGGCCGCCGCCATCTTCTGGCCCAGCTCCCGGCGGAGGCGGAACCGGGACTGCTAGGGCATGGATAGAGCAGGAAGTCCGGCCTCCACAGGTCTGTCCCACGATTGGCTGGACGGACGGCAAGCGCGCCTGCGCAAAGGGGCGGGTCTTAATAGAGGGCGTGGCCTAGCAACGTTCTGAGACAGGCCCATGGCTTTGCAGGGAGTAGTAAAAACCTTCCCCGAGAAAAGCACGGAGTCGAGATAGTTTCACTGAACAGTGTATCAGAATTTTAAAGATTGAATCATTGCAATGCTTATAACACTATTGTAGAGCATAGAAGAAAAATTTAGCCTATTTGTTTTATAAATATAAAACATTGATTCCCAAACCCATCAGAGTTCTCCAAATAAGAAAACTATAGACCATTCTTGGTTAAAAATAGGCGAGGGCCAGTGATGAAGCAAGGTGACTTGAGTTCTGTGGTGGTTTGAATGAAAATGGCCCCCATAGGCTTATAGGGAGTGGCACTATTAGGGGGTGTGGCATTGTTGGAGGAAATGTATCACTGAGAGTGACTTTGAGGTTTCAGATAATCAAAGCAGACCCAGTATCACTCTCTCTTCCTGCGGCTTGCCGATGCAGCTGTTGAATTCTCTGGCTCCTTCTCTGCACCATGTCTGCCTGCATGCTGCCATACTTCTCACCAAGATGATAATGGACTAAATTTTAACTGAGGCTGGCTTACAGTTCAGGCATTTGGTCCATTATTGTCTTGATGGGAAGCATGCCAGCATGCAGGCAGATATAGTGCCGGAGAAGGAGCTGAGAGTTCTACATCTTGATATATAGGCAGCAGAAGGAGACCATGTGCCACACTGGGTATAGCTTGAACAAATGAGACCTCCAAGCCTATCCCCAGTGACACACTTCCTCCAACAAGGCCTCACCTACTCCAACAAGGCCACACTTCCTAATAGCGCCATTCCCTATGGGCCAAACATTCAAACACATGAATCTATGGGACCATACCTATTCAGACCATCACACAGGGGATTACAGTAAAGAGATTGCCATGAGTCTCAGAGGCTTTGAACTGTGGACTTATAAACAATGTTGAGACTTATGATAGACTATGAGGACTTTTGAAATTGGACGTAAAAGCATTTTGCACTGATACGGCTATAAGCCTATAGAGGCCAGGGAGTAGAATGTGGTGGTTTGAATAAGAATGACCCCCATAGGCTCATATATTTAAATATTTTGTCACCAGGGAGTGAGACTATTTGAATGCATTTAAAGGATTAGGAAGTGTGGCCTTGTTGGAGGAAGTGTGTCACTGGGGGTGGACTTTGAGGTTTTAATAGCCTATGTCAAACCTACAGTCTCTCTCTCTCTCTCTTTCTCTCTCTCTCTCTCTCTCTCTCTCTCTCTCTCTCTCTCTCTCTCTCTCTCTCCCTCCCTCTCTCTCTCTCCCTCCAGATCAGGATATAGCTCTCAGCTACTGCTCCAGTGTTTACCTGTATGCTTCCATGCTCCCAGCAGATGATAATAGACTAAATTTTTGAAACTGTAAGCAAGCCCCCAATTAAATGCTTTCTTTCATAGGAGTTGCTATGGTCATGGTGTCTCTTCACAGCAATAGAACAGTGACTAAGACATCCAGGAACTCACATAGTAGAAGGAAATAATGTCTCCACAAATTATTCTCTGATCTCCATATATGTGCTAGCTTTGAGTGTACTTGGACACACACATACACACACACACACACTCACACACAACTAAAAATATGGATAAAAATCATAATAAAATATTAAGAGAATCAAATAACATATTTAATCAAATAACACATCATGACTAAGTGGAATTTAGTCCAAGTGTTCAAGGGAGTTCAATACTATAAATACAACATAGTTCATCATATAAATAGAAACAAAGAGAAAATGATAGTCATTTTTATAGATATAGTAGAGTCATTAACATTATTTTATGACTCATTCATATTTAAAAATAAAATACTCAGTTAAAAAGCAAAGATGGGGGCTAGATGGCTCAGAGGTGAAGGGCTCTTGTTGCCAAGCCTGATGGTCTGAGTTTGATCCCTGAAACTCACATGGTGGAAGAAGAGAGCTGACATCCACAAACTGTTCTCTGACCTTCTCATAGACAGTGTAGCACACCTCCGCACACCATTTGTAAACATGAATGCACACAGAAAAGACAATAAATGCAAATTTAAAACCTAAAAGGTAAAGATAGTCATTTATTTTTTAAATGATATGGTGTTTGAAATAAAATGGTGCCCATAGGGAGTGGCACTATTAAGAGGTATGGTTTTGTTGGAGGAAGTGTATCACTGTGGAGGTGGGGTTTGAGGTCTCATATATGCTCAAGCCATGCCCAGTGTCTCAGACCACTTCCTGTTGCCTGTGGGGTCAAGATGTAGCTCCTTCTCCACTCTTAGCTCCTTTTCCAGCATTATGTCTGCCTGTGTACTGCCATGTTGATAATGGACTAAACCTCTGAACTGTAAGCCAGCCCCAATTAAATGTTTTCTTTTATAAGAGTTACCATGGTTGAGCTGGAACAAACATAACTTCCGTAAAGAGTAGCATCCCAATCCACCAGATTTTGGCTTTGAATGCCATTTCTCACAAATAGTCATGGTGGCTCTTTGGAGACTGGATGCTTCTAGATGTTGGCAGGAAATGCATGAGATGGGAAAGACACCTGGTCTCTCCCTCTGGCCTCTGCATGTGCACCCATGGGTATGAACACACCCCCTATATGCATATGCATGTATACCTCCTTCCAATACTGATAAGTATAATGATTAATTTTGGTTATCAACTTGATTGGATCTGCAATCAACTAAAGAGTCTAAGAGCTTTGTGGAAGGGTCACTGGAGGGGGAAGACTCTCCCACAGAGTGGGCCTGCACTCTCTCTAGGTAGCCCAGACATAAGATCTAAGGGAGGGAAGGGTACTACTTTGCCTGCCCACTGTAACCCTCTGCGGGCAAGTGCATCTGCTCTGTTGTTGCTGTTGCCATACTTTGCTAACACTGGGAATCAATTTCCTTCAGCTTTCCCATGTGGACTAAAAGCCAGTGGCTTTCGGGGAAGCCATCAGGCTGTCAGCACCATACTGGGACTGCTGAGGCATCCAGCCACGTGTACTAAGCAGCAACTGGGGTTTCAACCTCTCTAACTTGCAGATAGCAGTACTGTCTACGCCAATTTAATAAATACCCCCTGTAATATATATTCATCTTAATGCTATGTTTCATATTACATTTATTTATTTATTTATTTATTTATTTATTTATTTATTTATTTATTTATTGTGTGTGTGTGTGTGTGTGTGCACTTATGGATGCCATGGCACACGTGTGGAGGTCAGAGAACAACTTTCAAGAATCAGTTCTTTCTTTCTACCGTGTGGAACCTGGGAATGGAACTCAGGCTGGAAAGCCTGGTGGCAGACTCCTTTACCTTCTATGATGTCTCTCTGTTCCAGGATGTCTTCATTCCGCTAGCTGTGTTCCTCAGAGAGCCCTGACTAATACAATGTTCTCTTGAGAGTGGTCTCAGCATTGCCTGGTGAGTAATCTTGCTGACTGAATCTAAATTTGACCAGGACTTAACATTTTTTATTTAATTTGTATCTTAATTAAACAATTTTCATACAATATGTTTTGATTACATTTTCTCCCCTCCCTCAACAGCTCTCAGGTCCTTTTCGCCTCCCTATCCACCCAGTTTTATGTACTTTCTCCCTTAAAAAAATTAAACAAAAACAAAAAAAACCCCAAAATAACAACCCCCCCAAAAACGAAAATAAAAACAATCAAAAGATCAGTAATAAAAAAAAAACCCGAATACATCCCTTTTAAATTACTCCCCCCCAAAACCATGTAGTTAGTTCACTTTGTGTTGGCCACCTTCCCCGGAGCATGGGGCATGCCCTGGGGTGCGATGGATATGTCCAGGGACATTCCATTGGAGAAAGCTGAGTTCCCTCTTGCCAGCAGGAATCAGTTGCAGATGGCTTCTTGGTCGGGGGATGAGGGAGAATGTATCCCCTTTCCCATCTTAGTGCTCGGACCCATTCTGACTGGGATGTGTGCAGGACTTGTGCATGTTGCCACGGTCTCTGTGGGCTCACAAGTACCTCAGTCCTTTTGTGTCTGGAAGATACTGTCCTTGGAGTCATCACCATGTGTGGTTCTTAAGATCTTTCCTCCTCCTTGTCAGCACAGATCCCTGAGCCCTGAGGGGAGGGGCTTGATAAGGACACCCCATTTGGGGACAAGTGCTCCAAAGCCTTTGCATGTCATCCAGTTGTGTTGATCAGCCAGGCCTTTTGACCTAACAAATTTGCAGCAAATGATACAAAAGAAGGAATGTGTTAAATGATTCTGTGGAGATACAAACAGCAAATTCTAAGTCATAGAAAACAACCAGACTATCTGTTTCACCCAATAAATTCAAAGAAAAAAAAAGTACGAAAACATACTATATATTTAGAGTCATAAGGGACACAACTAATTGCAATGTATGCACCCTTTTCACTTGGGTTTGATTTATTTTCAATCCTGAGTCCAATAAACGAGTAAAATTAAAAAAAAATTGGTACCCGTATATTAGTTTACCCATCATGACAGCGAAGTGCCTGACACAATAAAAAAGGTGTGTGTGTGTGTGTGTGTGTGTGTGTGTGCACTATAGATCTGAGTTACCGTACCATGACATGGAATACTGACTACACTCATTTATATAAAATGAAGTTAAATTATTTACTCCGTCTCACATAGACAACAGATCTGTGCATAAGGCACTCGGAGGTTTTACGAGCTGCAGCTGCCATGCCAGGCTGGGGAGTTGACCTCACTTTATGTAGTGAGGGGCCAGGCTCTGACACAAAGAAAAAAAAAGTGGGCTAGCCAATTCTAACATACAGTCAGACTTGGGACCCGCTACAAAAGGTCTCAAACTTTCCTCTCGTTTCCTAGTTCTCACGCCCACAGAGACACGGTTTCCTACCACTTTCCTCCTCTGTTGTAATGGAGACCTGATGAACAG